ATACCTTTTGGGTACAGTCATACACAGTTCTCTTTCCACAGAACTCTATATACCAATTAATTAGTTTCCTCTTTTACTGACACAATAGAAGCAATCAGAAGGGAATTGTGCATACTCCCCTGACCTATGGAATAGTCAAATATTCTGCTTTCCCTTTGTTATCATAGAGGGCCCGTCAGTGCTAAGACCAGCTTTTCCACTTATTTATTGGATCATTCCTCCTCTTTTTTAGAGAAGAATGTTGTACTGCTTATTGAATACTCACCTAATTTTTACATCTTTCATCTATTAAATTATTTCCATTAGTACAGAATTGTTCTATAATATCTCCTATCATCAAAAGTATCCTCCCTTGGTCTGACAGACTCTCCAGCCACCTCTCTGTTTCTGTTTCCCTTTACAGAAATTCCTTTCTTTCCATTCTGTCTTGAATCCTACCTAATGAAATTTCGTACTCATACTCCATTGAAACAATTTTTTCAGGGTCACAGTAAATTCACATTACTAAATCCTGTATTCTCTTCATCTTTATTCAATTTCATCATTCTTCTTAATTCTCTCTTAATTTGTCCCTTGCAATATCCTTACTGGTTATATCACCTTGACCTCTAAACTTGAGAGGTATTCAGAGATTGACTTTTGGACCACTTCTTCATTACCACTTTCTCCCTAGGTGAGCCTGCCCAACCTCATAATTTGAATAATAATCTATAAATTATTCTTTTTACAACTTTTTATATAATCAGGACCTTTTCCATAATCTCACACCTGCATACTCACCTGCCAACTCAACACCTCCACATACATGAATAATACACCTATGTATAACATGTCCTGACAAACTTCCTGATAAACCCTGTAATCTGCTCTCTCAGTAGTTTCCCAGGCTCAACTTATTATTATTATATCTCCATCCTTATATTATATTGTATTATATTATATTATATTTTATTTTATTATAACTCCATCCTTCCAGGTATCCAAACCAAAGCCCCTGAGGTCTTTATGTCTCCTATATTTTTCTTATGTTCAAACATAAAATGTATTAGTAAGTGTGGTTGGTTTTTCCTTAAAACTTCCAAAGATGAAGAGATTTCCTTCTGCTATTGCCCTGGAAAAAGTTACTCCTTCCTCTATTTTATAATATTACTGTAGATTCCTAATTAATCTCCCTCTTTCTGCATTTGCCCTCTTCCATAGAAACCATTATCAACATAGCAGCAGGAAGAATCCTTTTAAATATGACAGATTATATCACTCCTGTAGTCAATAATTTTCCAAGGTACTTCTTATAAATTCTAAGCCTGTGCAGTGGCCTATGGAACCATTTCTGAAGGAAGGGGTTTAAAGCATAGTCTGTTATCAGCATTGTGCTGGTAAATGTTTAGAAAAGGTATTCTGAATGTAGATTAAGAATATAATCATAAGAATTGATTTGGGAGAAAATATAGGCATAATGAGTTCCAACGTATACCAGGCACTCAGATATAAATACACTGTTGCAGTAGGTGTGGAAAGTGATCTGAAATGCCACTTTATATGTGAGAAGGAAATGGAATGGGAAAATGCTTTTAAAACAGAATTTAGAATAATATAATGAGAGGACTAGCCACAGAATTGAGAAACATTAATATTTCAGTGTTAGGAAGGGAAGCCAACAAAAGAATTGGAAAATGAAAACAACCAGAGAAAATAATAAGTGTAAAAAGTGGCCCGTTAAAGTGATGTCAAGAATATAGAGGTTTCAGCTAGCCAAGTATTATTACAATACTCAAATACTGCAAGATATAAATTCTGAACTATATAGAAATAAGGTAAGAGATAGTTCAGATAATGTGTATTAGATAATAAATTTTGAAAATTCCCAATAACCTTAGCAAGAATTTCAATGGAATGATAACAGAGGACAGGTTATAATGAGGGAAATTGTTGGAAGGCCAATAAACAGAAAAAGTAATAGATTGCCTGGTGATGATGGCTAACACCTGCAATCCTAGCTACTTGAGAGGCTAAGAATGGAAGGATTGTGGTTCAAGGCCAGCCAGGGCAAATAGTTCATGAGACTCCATCTCAACCAATAGATAGCCATGGGAGCCCCTGCCTGCCACCCAAAGCTAGGAGGCTGAGATTGGAAGGATCAGAGTTTCAGACCAGCCTGTGCAAAAAAAAAAGTTCATGAGATCCTATTTCAATGGAAAAAAATTAGGCATGAGTGTACATGCCTGTCATCCTAGCTACAAGTGGGAAGCACTTGTAGAATGGTTGTCCAGGCTGGCCAGGGTAAAAATGAGACCCTATCTCCAAAATAACCACACCATAAAGGACAGGAGGTGAGGCTCAATGCCTGCCTAGCTAGTACAAATTTCTGAATTCAAACCTCGTACCACAAATAAATGCATACATACATACACACACACATACACACAAATACACACACATATGTATATATACTGTGTAGAGTTGTGGCAAGACGGATTCTTTAACTTTTATTTAGTCAGGAGTCATCCATAAACATAATTTAGGATGGCTTAAAAGAAACATGAGAAGTCAAGAGAAGTTGAAGAAATTTTTAATTTCCAGGATAATACAAAGGGAAAGTACAAGGGAGAACTGTCTTTAGAGCATCAGCTTCTGAACAGGAGTCACTGACCTTGGATAAAAACGAAATCACTTTGTGCTTTAAGTTCAGAGACTAAAGAAAGTAAAAGAGTGGTACTAAATGTTAGATTTACAATTCTACATCAGGAAACTTGAAGAACTTTCTGTTTATCTGTTTTGAGGATAAAATGTAATCAACTGACACTGCAGGATGGATTGTGCAGCTTAAGTCAAGCATGTTGGAGTCACTATAATGATAAAGATAAGGAAAAACTGTCATTTTAGCCAAAACCTTTTCACAGAAATCTTTTTTACATAAAAAGGCATAAACATTTCATATATCCCTCTTTTTGACCAGTCATAAAGCTGTGAAGTGTTAAATTTGACAAAGATCTCAGACCCTATCTAGTCCAACTATTAGGTTCATTATGAAACTGAGATAAAGGGAAATAATATTAGATTTCTAGGGTTTGAATCCAGGTCTCCTGATACCAAGGGCAATATTCTTTCCAGAAAACTCAGACTATCTCAGAATGATATCGTATCTTTCTTTCCTTAAAAATATCACTTCTGATCCCTTTCTTCTAGTTTAATTTTATAGCATGCTATGTATTTTTACTACATGTCTTGAGTAAGTTCCATTAGTTATGGTAATACTTTTTTTATTATTTTATATATATACACTTTTGTGCTGGGGGTACATTGTGAAATTTGCAAAAGTTCTTATAATGTATCAAAAATATAAACTGCTTCAAAAGATTAGAGTAACTAAGTAGAAATATAACAGCATGTTAATTTAGGTATATTACAGACATTAAATTTACAAAATAATATTTATACTTTACTAAAAAGTATTAGACATAATATTCATGATGTGTAGTACTGAAACTCTTATATTTCAAGAGATAAGATAATACATTCTCAGAGGAAAATGAAGGAAATAACCACTTTCTTAACTACTTTAATTTCAACGTGATTGGGCTGTGAATTATAAAGAAAATCAATGTGGTAGAGATTCTACACATATTGAGTATTGGTAAAGTACCATGAAAACTTTATTTTACTAAAACTGTACATTTTATATAAAAACTATACTGTTAAAACTCTGTTAATTAAAATGTAGAATCTGGTTTGATCCTAGAAAGAAGAATGACTTTGAAGAATTTTAAATGTAAGAGTGAAGTAATCTATATAATCATTGTAATAGTGTAGGGTGCTTAGTAACAAGTCATTAGAATATGTGATTTTTTTAGAAGTTTTTTGTTTTGCTGTGTTTCTGGTTAATGAAAAGGAAATTCCATTGTAAAAACCCTAATGTTTCAGAAATATAAGTGGTTTTAGAAAGCTGTCAGCTGGCATTCTGTGTGATCACAGACACTGTTTAGCAGCTTGCTTTTAAAACTTAAAATTATTTATGAGATACTTTTCTTTTCAGTGTAGACGTATTGGTGATATGTGGTATCCGATTATAGATATATATATCATAATTTATTTAGTACTCCATAAAGGGCATTTGGAATTGCCCTACCTGTTGCTATCTTCAAAGCTGAATTGAACACTGTACATGCAACTCTGTACAATTTGTTAGTAATGATTCAATCTTGAAAGTGAAAGAGTAGACTCAAATTCAAGTACATTAACATGCAAAATATATTTTTCCCAACTTAACTCTCTAAAGGCTGTTCTATTTTGGGTGCTACTCTCAACAAATATGGAAACTTAATTACCCAAATCTTTGCCAAACTGAGCATCTTAGCTAATTATTTTTGGCTCCTGAATGAAAATACATCAATTTTAATTTCTAATCTCTTAACTATTAGTAATATTGGACTAGCCTTTATATATACACATATTATAGAATATTATATATGATATTACATATATATAATGTAACATATGTATATTATATACATAGTCACATATTCTTTCTGTAAATTACCTATGTACCTTATTTATTTTTCTTTTTTGCATTTTCATTTATGAGACTTTTCTATAACTATATGATTTTAAGTCCTAAGATATTTAAAATCATAATATTTTCAAAAATAACAAGTAATGATTACTTATATTGTGCCAGCAATATTATTTTTCCAAATGAAACATATTATCTAAATTTTCTTTCTCTATTCACAGGAAAACATTGCCACATAAAACAGTTAAAATTATTGGGAAAACTGGTTATTTTATTAAATATTTTAAATAAATGACTGTATCCTATTTTCACAGTTGTGTGAAATTGGAATGTCCAGTCCCAATGAATTATTTTCCTTATGCATATAACTTTCTTATTTCTTGATTCATCTTTATAAGCTTTCTGTTATTTACTGTTCAGTAACATGACAATAATAATATATTGTCACTGTCAATATTCATGCTTTGCTTTTCTGTTTGTTTTATGGAAGGTCTATACCAGAAAGGAAGCCTTAAAGGGAGGTTTGGATAAAACTGTAAGCCTGCAGAAAGATCTATCTGAGATGCATGAATGGATGACTCAAGCTGAGGAAGAATATCTAGAGAGAGATTTTGAATATAAAACTCCAGATGAATTACAGACAGCAGTTGAAGAGATGAAGGTACAGTAAACCAAATAAAACAAAGAAACAAAGTAGCAAATAAATGCAACTTTGCTTGAAATTGTGATTTTGTACAATCTGTTCTCTGGATTTAGTAGTAGAGGTTGATTTTTAAATTTTGCTTGAAGTTTAGGTGTGTATTATATAAAAATCTTAAACTGTTTATTAACTTTAATGCAGTATGGTCAGAATATAAATATAAATTTTGACAATCATAGTTTGAAACATCATTCCCTTGAAATTATGAAATGTTAAAAAGTAGAATCAGCAGATCTTATTTAGCTGTATTCTTATGTTCCAAATTCATGTCAAAATTGCAACAAAAATTTCTGGATTAAGCAATTTGAAATGTAGTCAAATATTGTGTTAGTTTGGTAGCTTAAGGGGGTTTCTAATAATTTGGAAGTACTAAATATTTTATCTGGTGACTTAAAGCTAGGATTTAAAAGGATTGAGTTTACATGAAAACCTCTTGAAACAATAGGATAAAAAGAATAATATTGATTTAGGACAAAGGGAATTGTTATGTACCATACACTTGGAGGTGAGTCCTAGAGTTGAATCTATATGATGGCATTTTAGTATGAACTTGGGCAACATAGAAGGTAACATAATCCTCTATTTTATCATGTTTATGTCATCACATTTTCTAACTTGACTATATGTATGAACTGTGATTATATGTCAATAAGTTGCCTAACTCAGTGTGGGCAGTTAATGATTTGTAGATATGATGATAACTATTATTTTCATGTAGTAACAAGGATACATAAATTAATAACACTAATGTGTAAAATATTAATAGATATTAGTTTGATGACTTATGACAGAGAAAAATCACTGGGGAGCCAAACACTTAGATTTAAATCTGGTGTGGCTCCTTGACAACTGTGTAACCTTAGCCAAGTTACATAAGCTTGCTGAACTTCAATTTTCTCACACGTGAAATGGATATTAGAACAGCTCCTTTTCAGAATTGTTTAAACAATGAAACATGCAAACTTTAACACAATGCCTGGTATAAAGTAAGTGTTCCAAATTTGGTAGTTATTATTGCAATTATTTTAAGTACTGCATAGTAAGAAATTAGTTGTATTTTCTTATATAATTTACATGAACATTCAGAATCATTTATTATAATTAATAGCAGAAAGTACATAGAAATTTGCATGTTTAAACATTGAATCTATCATGTGGATTTAGTCAAATGTAGAACATAAAATATAAGACCTATAGGAAAGCTTGAATTTGTTTATTCTGGAATATTAACAAAAATTCCAATCTACAATACCATATTTCATTCATTCATCAACTAATAATGCATATTATGGGCCAAATTCCCTTCTAGATACTGAACATAGTGGTAAGACCACTACCTGCTCTCTTAGAATTTACATTCTGTTAGGCGATGGAAAGCTGGCAATGAATGAAGGAACAAATAAAACCATTTGTGATTGTGATGATTTCCCTAAAAAAATATACTAGAGTTGTAAAATAGGTAACAATTAATGTTTAGGCAGGAATTGGGAGATGGTGAGATGCTATTTTAGAAAAGTTTGATATGTAAAGCATTTGTGAGAAAGTAAATTTAATCTGAGAAATCTGAATCATGAGAAAATACCAACCATAAAAAATTCATGGAAGCACATTCTACTCAGGGGGAATACCTACTGCAACGCCCATAAAACAAATTGAGAAGTGTAAGAAGCTTGCCTGCCTGGAGGAAATAAAACAGGTTAAATGACTTGAGTCACCAAATATCCATTAACACAGGGAATTTGAAGGCTATCACAAACGTTTTCATACTAAGTAAAATGAGAAAGCCATTGAAGGGTTTCAAGAAAGGGACAGTAATGATGTTAAATTTGATTGGGGTGAGGTCATTATGAGAAAAATGACCATAATGAACATAAGCATTAGAAGGTAGTTTGTAAGTAATATAGGTCATACTTTCTTATCAGAAAAATAAAATCCACAAATAAATCAAATAATGTAACCATAGCCACAACTTGATCTGTGGCAAAACCAACAGGGTTGAAGGTATTTCATCCTATTCCGTGGTTAGCTATTCCACTTTTTTTTTTTACTTTATGATTTGTGTGCAACCCATGTGGCTTTTCTGATCATATCTCAGCGCTCTGATGGCCTATTCTTACCACTTTTCCTAGTACAATATAACCACTACCTCAGATCTGTGAGTAGATAATTGGCAGACAATGTATGTTCAACTATTTTGTTTCTCCTTGGTTCTTTTGTTTGATTCAGTCCCTTTATTTGCCATCTTCACTGTCTCCTTGAGGAATTGATCTATGTAGCCAACCACACAGTCAGAGCCTTTTTTGCCCAGTGGTGGAGAGTCGTGTCTCTAAAATTATGAATTTCAAAAAACAATCCCTGAAATGTGTGATCCAACCAATTAGTCCATATTAAGTGGAATGTTTTAATAATTGGTCTCACTACAAATTTCGTGCAGTATGGGGGAATAATGAAAAGAAGAACAGTTCAGGTAACCTCTGGCAAAAGCAACCAAGGGAGTTGGCAGAAAGAACCCTTTTCATGAATTTCCTGCCTGCCATTCAAGGAATATCTTTAAGGTCAGTTTCACTACCTGGAACAGAGTGATAGCAGCTAGTCCATATTTTCACCTGTACTCATTTTGAGAGCAAATATATCTTTACTGTTAGAATATACCAACAAACCTACTTTGTCATTTCTCCCTGATTTACTCAAAGTTTAGACCTCTTTCTATTTCCTTATTTTCTTCCTGTGTTTTACTTGAAAATGACAGTACTGTTTTGATAACTTATTTTTCTCCTGTAAACAAAACTTTTCCATTGCCATAAAGGAACTGAGAGAGTGCTTGATAAGCAACAATTGACTTCAAAACGCTTTTGGAGATCATCAGTAACTATATATTGAAACTTTATAATAGTACTCTTTTAAAATCTTGAATTTTATTTTAACTATTTCTTTTAAAATTTTTGCATGATTATAACTTTAGTGCTAGAGCATAGAAAAACTTGCACATATGAAAATAGTGAATTCACAGGTACATTTTTTTCATAGCTAAAGCAGTGATTCTTGCACTTGAGTCTACATCAGAATCACCTGAACAACTGGCCCACACTTGCAGAATTTGGGATTTAGTGCATCTGTGGTAGTGCCTAAGGTTTTTCATTTCCAATGTGTTTCCAATTGATGCTAAGGAATAAGTTCCAGTTTGGATCTAAGGAACCATACTTTGAGAACCATTGATACAATATATTGTGAACTATAGATATCTGAGCACATTAATGGTTAATTTCATGGAAAGAAAGGGAGCAAGAACCACTATTTTTATGAGGATTATGTCTAAACTATATCAGTCATTTAGCTTTCTGCTTCCCCACAGCAAAGAAATTAATCATGACCCACTTTTCTCATATCTGTCTGAGTTAATAAATGTTGTTCTCTTTCTTCTCTGAACTGTTCTGAATATCTAAGCCACTTTTTGCAAAAGAATATATGAAAGTCTAAAAGTTGAGGAAAGAGGTGGTCCATGCTCTGCACATTTAGGCAGGTATATGTGTTGTTTTTAACGTATGTATATTATGATTTCATTCATTGGATCCATTACAAAATTCTTCCTCAGGTCACAAAGGATTTTTGAGAATAACTTAGCAGAAGCCATGAGAAAGAAAAGATGTAACTCTAAGAACCATTTACTTAAACTCTCTGAATCTCAGCTTTATAATGTCTAATACAGAGGTAACAGAGACATGCCTGAAGATTTCATTATAGATCCAATAAGGAAGCAATCTGGTATGGCTGACATAGCACATGAAAACACATGCTCAGTGATAAATGGTTGTCAAAGTTGTTGATAATGATATTTTACTGCAGTCAAAATATGATTTGTTAGGAAACAAACCCCATGCTTAGTGATGCCAAAGAACTGATTAATTTAGAATACAGAACTAAAATGTTCAATCAATTAAAATCGGAGAGGCAAACATTTTATAGTCAAACTTGATTTTGCCATCATACTGCATATAAGTATTGTAGGACTAAATCCAAAGGATAGATTGATTATGTTGACAAAATGTAAGGGCATTTTGTAGCTCATCTTATCCTACCCCAAATTATCATTATGGTATTATTTGCAGGCCCAGAACCTGTATTCCTTTACATGAAGGCTTTCCTTTGACCACTGAATTGTACTTTCCCACTTCTGTGGCAGATTCAAATTATAGGAGATTTTCCCCCAACAGTCTTCAAACAATGAATGTGATGAGGTGTACATACACTACTTCCCACATCTGCGAATGTGATAACCGGGAGGCAGATGTTTCACAGAGCTTTCCAATAGGAGTAAACTCTAGTCACTAGAAATGGTTACTGGGTTAACAGATGTATCTTTATAATCTCTCTTCCCTTTCCTTTCTCCATTCTTCATTCTGCTATAAGTATTTCCTTCACATAGGTCATACATATTAAATGTTTATGCTTGAAAGCCATGTCATCATTGGCTTCTGCAGGAGCCCAAACTAAAGACACACTGTGTTTCTAAAATATATGTACACCTTGAAAGTTAAGTGTAAGTGTCCTCTAGCTAAAGAGTACCAGCAACTCCCTTTTAATTAAATAAATTGGCTTTACTTTGTGTTAGGTGATTTGAAGGAGAGTGTAAGGGCTCTGCTTTGGCTTGCTTGTTGTCAGTGAGGGGAGACCACTCAATGACTGGGTATTTTATCTGTCCAGAAAGAAGGAAACCTAGAGTGAGACTGAAGTTGTAATTCATCAAAAAGTACTGGTCACTCATACTAAACAGGCGAGGGGAATGTTTGACATTTTGTGGTTTAGCCAACATAGATGTTTTGTCTATATTTAGACATGATAATGGAATGATTTTGTGGTCTTGAGCTACCATGTTAACAAAGTGGCCTTGTCCAAAAATGAAATTCTGTGGAGCAGTTTGTGCTTAACAGGAGAAGGCATAACTGTGAGTGCCAGGACATCTCCTAATATCAGAGGCTGCTTTTCTGTTTCTATTTCTACTCTTATGTGTTTTTAATTACTGAACAAACTTTCATCAAAATAGAGTCCCAAATTTAACATCAAGAAGTCTTGTCTATATTAGGTATCTTTAATTTAAACAGTGATATTCACACTAATTTCAATATTATTCACCCATCTTAATAATATATAAGTGACTGTAATTATTACTAAATGTTTCTAAATATTTCCTAAATATGTAGTAGATATTTACTATTTATGAATTTAGCATTGAAATACTTGTTTCTTCCCTATTTCAAACAACTTTATATAGATATATACAAACATAGCAACAAATACATACTCATGTACAGACTACATTTCAAACTATTCTTATTAAAAAGTGTATTGTATTGTGATTACAATTTTCCCTCAAGTTTCCAATTATAGATAACTGAGTTTATGGAAAAGATTGGAGTCATTATTGAATTTATTTTTATGAATTTCATTCTAATAAGAATGTAATGAGGAAGAAATTATATGATACATAGGAATGCATTTTGGAAATAAAATGCATTGACTTGCTTTAAGAGAACTTTCTTTGTTTTTCAGAGAGCAAAAGAAGAGGCCCAGCAAAAGGAAAGCAAAGTGAAACTTCTTACTGAGACTGTAAATAGTGTCATAGCCCAAGCTCCACCTGCAGCACAAGAGGCCTTAAAAAAAGAACTTGATACCCTAACCACCAACTACCAGTGGCTCTGCACCAGGCTGAATGGGAAATGCAAAACTTTGGAAGTCAGTTGCCTTTTTTGGCCTTTATCAATTCTATACCAACAGCAGTCATTGTAAAATATAGTGTTTAAGAATCTGAATTCACTCAAGCACTTACAAGTTGTATGATTTTGGGCCAGTTGCTTAACTTGTGTAAAACCTGTTTCCAGTCTGTAAAATAGACATAATAATAGTACCTATGTTATAGAGTTTTTGAGAAGTTGAACAAGCTAGTCTACTTAAAGTACTTAGCCCAATGTTCAATAAACAAGAAACATCTATTATTCTAATTCTTACTATTATTGATATTATTAGGTCACAAAATCCTAAAAATAAGCTTCCTATAGTTCTGTAGAAATTATTTTTCCATATATTAGAATGTGCATCAACTTCTTTAAGGATCATAATGGGTAAATATTCTGGGAGGAAGTGTATCTTATTATAACTGTCTTTAATAATTGCTGAGTCCTTTCTTTTTTTCCTTTATTGTTTTGCTTGGTTGGGGTACATTGGGGCATTTACAAAGATTCTTACAATATATCAAATTTATCATACTTGAATTCACCCCCTCCATCGCTCTCCTTTATCCCCCCCATTCCTAGAACGGTTTCAACAGGTATCATTTTTCCATTTCTAACATGTGTGCACAGTATTTGTACCGTATTCACCCTTCTACAACATTTTCCCACCTTTTCCCCCTTTCCACTGGTGCCACCCCTCTTTTGGTTTTTAGCTCAAAAGTCCATATGTTCTGTCTCATATGTGGAACACAAACCTAAAACATATGCTTAGTCCTTCTTCTAAGATATGTTGCCTAACTAACTCCTTTTTTGACACTTCACACTCTATTTATACATTATTACATATTAAAGCTAAATCCTGCTTTAGCTTTCCAACATGCCTTATTGTTTAGATTGTACTTATCTGAATATAAATGAAGAATTCAAGTGCCTCAAATGATTACCAGGTAATCATATCAGAAAATAAACTATGACACTCCTTGTGAAAATACTGTGGCAAGGAACGCTAATCTTTGCCTACTATCAAATGCTGATGATGCTGAACACTGCACACAAGTTGGGCTTTAATTTAAGTCTCTTTTCTCCACATAAAATTATCTTTGTTAATATGGTTGATAAAGAATTCATGTACCCCATTACAGTCAAGGAATATTAGTTCTTTTAGTTAGCATTTTGTATTCTGATATTTATATGCACATAGAAATTAGACAAGTAGGGTAGACTTCAAAAATATTTAAAAACATAATTTTTGTTTAAATTACCCAAGACATATCCACTATTATAACTTCCTAATTATAAAATGTAATCTGAACATCTTCATTATCAATTCCAATCTCTTCTTCATTTACCAGTCCTTTATACTTTTTAAAATTCAGTTTGATAATCAGATACTTGAAAAGATTCTCTAAGACAGGAACTATTATTGTTGCTGAGGCTATATGCACACATCAGTTGAATTAGTGGTATGTAAATGTCACAGAAAATAAGGCATAGTAAGAAAAAGAAAGGGACAGCACAGTAAAAGTCACAAGAAAGTCACAACTAATTCACAATCATGTTTCATGAGGGAGGGACCTTTTATCCAGAAAATGACTTTCTGACAATATTTAAATAGAATACTTAAACATTCTTATTTTTGTTATTTTTTGCATAAGAATTATCCTCTGATACCTTATTACTGATTTTTGTGTGCCTACATGCTAGTTTTTCATTCATCAGAAATTTATTTTGTGGTATACTTTAAAAAGGAATCTTTTATTTTCATATTAATTTCAAAAATTTAAAAACCACTAATTTAATTATCTTGATATTTCCCATTCAACTGCAGCAAAGTTTGTAACCATTCTTATTTATATTTTATTTATCAAGATATTCAGTCCCTTTTTATTCTTTAGCACTGGTTTACGATGCACACTTTATTTTATCTGAATAGTATCCATAATTATTATTTTGCATACCTTAATCAACAAATTTCCATAATCATAAATGTTTCTATGTACCTCTGTAGCAATAATATGACAGAAACATTAGCATCATTTAACTCTGAATTTGCCTCTCTTATCTTTCATAGTATCAAATATGTGTCTAGTCATTTACACCTTAGTTTTTACTTTCCACAAATTAGTTAAAAGTATTGCTGCTGTTCTTGTAATTATTATTTTACATAGTATTTATTTACTTTTGCCAGTGCTATTTTACTAATTTTGGCGATCGCTTTTGCTTTTCCTCCTCTCCTTTCCTTCTGTTTCATTGTGTGTGAATGTAAATTCTCTCAGATTTTGCATGATTGAAAATGGCTTTATTTTCCTCTCAGTATTGAATAATAGACTAGTTGGATAAATAATTATCTAGGAACAGTTACTTTTTATACCACTGGAAATATCTCTTGTCTTCTGAAATTTAGTTCTGTTAAGAAAGTTTACTGTCAAATTATTGTCCCTTTATAATTTTGTCTGGTATTTTTTAATTTTCTCTTTTTTTCAATAGTCTATAGTTTTGCTCTACTTTGTCTATGTGTAGGTTTGCTTTCATTCATACTTTGTCATCAGAATGTTCATAAGAACAGAAAATTTCTTTCTGTCTTAAGTGGGTCTCCCATTATCTTTTCCCCAATCTCATTAACATTCTTAGGGGAATTTTCTTTAGATCTATGAAGAATCTCCCCATCTAGTATTTCAATTTTTTATTTCTCTTTAAAATTTCTGCATTCTTATGTCTATCTTCCCAGTTCTGAGTAATTTTCTGAAATCTGTGTTCCAGTTCTCAAATTCTTCTTCAATTTCCTGTGGCATAATTTATTGTTCAATAGATAAATCTACTCATTTCTGTACACATTTATATGTTTATGTGTGTCTGTTTAAATTTTTTCAATTACCGGATTTTCATCGCTAAGTCAAATATGTGAGTTATTTTTCATTGTTTTCTGTTTTTGTGTAACTCTATCTATTCCTTTAAACATTTTAAACATATATAATCTGTTCAATAATCTTACTGTGCAATAAGCAGGAAATATTTTCATTTTTCTAATATCTAATCCAACATTACAAACTCTTTTTTAACTAGTAATGGGCTTCTTAAACAATATTTAATTCTGATTTCATAACTCATAATTTACTCTTCATTTTTAAATTTTAGTGAAATTTAAAATTTAATCTCCTACTTTATTTAAATCATGTACTAGTTTGGCTTATTATTATGGTTTCAAAAATTTTTACAGAGGTAGGAGTAAAAAAAACTGGTCTTACAGTCTCTCCTGTCACAAAGTTTCTGAATATTGATCTTCTAATGGTATAATGGAGGATAAAGATGGTGAAGTACTCTTTTCATACAAGTATCTTTTCCTTGGCTGGCAATAATTACTCTTCTCTTTTGTTAATATCCACATTATCTGTATTAATTAATCTGTTGTCATATTTCTCTATGTTATTACCACTGACATGGCTTGTTCTGTACAGATTCTATCTGGTGTGTTGGAAACCTGGATTGGCTTTGGCATTGTTCTCATGAACTTTCAACCTCTTAATGCCTCTCCTACGTATTGGTGGAGTCTTGTAATATTTAACAGGAATTTCACACCAACTCTTGAGAATAGCCTTGTACCATATGGCCTTGAAGGTTATAAAATGCTGGAGTCTTACCTCCCAAAGCTGAACCAAGAGCATGTGTGCACTGAAGAACCAGTCTTTCATTCCTCTCTGGAATTAGCAAATTTAAAAATGTTGTCCTTGATTTCTTTAAACAGGAATTTCATACCAACTATGAATTCCTAAATATGCCCATGCCTTTTATAAGAGATTCTCTTTTAGATTCTGTGAATGACAAGAATCCAGATGAGAGCTGAGTATGTAGCTTAGTGGTAGACCACTTGAGTAGCAGGCACAAGGCCCTGGATTCACCCCCCAGTACCGCAAAAAAAAAAAACCCTATATGTGGATGAGTTCCCCTTACTCATGCCCATAAAAGCAAGAAGGAAGAATTGTCTGATTTTCGAAAGTCTCTTTTCTTCTGTTTCCTCAGTTGGTCCCTCTATCAGCCATCTCCATTTAAACAAGGGCTTATAAAAAATGATCTATAATGTGCTCCCAACATAGAATGTAGACAGTTAAGCCCATTTATTTCTTAATTAGGAAAACTTGTGTCAAACTCAGAGAAAATAAGCCCTAGTGCCACTATATACGATCAAGCTAAACATAAATATTATTAAATACTCTAAAGCATTGTGTTATCTCTATGCCATACAGTTTGTTCCAGCTTATGATTTGCTCTTATGGAAGTGAATTTCTTTATATGGCTAATAAGTTTTTGTTCCTTTAGTAGGAATAGTTTCTACTGGCATTTCATTTTGCTTTGGACTATTGGAGGGTCCTTATGAGTTTTTCTACTTATCTCTACCAGGGCCCTAAATATGTTATGTTTTTCTCTCCTCTGTCTTTTAAGCATCAGTTCTACTTTCTTATGGAATGATCCTTATTTTCCAATTAAGAATCCAAAGTATTCTCAATTTCATTGTTAATTCCTGATAGTGGGTAGGCATTTTCTAGTTCTTGTATTCAGGGTGGCGGCACACTATGTATCCTTTTCTAATTCCCTGGCATGTGTGAGATCAATGCCTTTTTTCCCATCCCAAGATAGTATTAAATGTCCCGGCTTGTACATCATGTGTCTTGCCAGTATTTTGCTAAGCTTAGTTTCTCACTCTCTATTTGCACTTCTATTTTTCTGGCACTTTAGGTTTACTGATACATACTTTATAGGTCAGCTTTGAATTTAAAATCTTTGCTTTATACTTAACCTAGAATTGTAATATGACTGAAATAGAGTATGAAGGGGATACCAGATTAACTCCATCTTCTATTTTGAACAAAAGTTTACTTTTTCATGTATATCCTCCTTCAGAGCCACTTTGAATTCTATAATTTTAAGTTGCAAACTTTTAAGCACAACAGATATTCTAAGTAGATTTTAGCTACAATTTGGGCTTCAAGATTGTATTTTATTTTACAAAGGTGACCTAGAAAGCTGATATTTTCAGCATCTCCAGCTGTGTCCTTTAGATGCATTGAGGACAGAAGAGGCCATCCATCCTGACAGTTAAATCAGCCAGATAGTTCATTACCTCAGTCTGCACCATAGTTAATAAGACACATTACCAATCACAACCCTTATCTTCAAAACTCTATGGTACCCTCGGGTATTTAAGGAGATATTTATATTTTCCCACTGGAATCTTTGCCCAGAAGAAAGAGAGCCTGTAGCCCAGCAGGAGCTGGAAATGATCCAGATTTAAAATTTCTACAACATTTAAAAGCAAAACAGTTAATTTTACTTTATGGAATAAACTGTGCATAAAATACCCAAGTAGGTATAGAAAGTTGGCAGGTTAGAATAATACTTTTTATCAGACAGACATTGAATATCCTCTATCATTAGTAAAGGATAAAAATAAAGGGGAAATGGATAGATTTTTAGTTTCTCATAAAATAAAATTTAATCTCTAGGCTTTATTTTTGAAAGTTTTAGTAGGGTAGTAGCAGTTGGTGGTGATTATGCCATTGTATTTGCTGTATTTATAGGTTTGCCCAAAATTTACAACCCCAAACCTAATAGAAAATCACTACTTCATTTCTCTTGAAGTAGTGTGAGCTCAGGGTCTTGTGCTTAATAGGCAGGTGCAGTGCTATACCACTTGAACATTTCTGCCAGCCTGCTTTACATTGGTTATTTTTGAGATAGAATCTCTCTTTATGCCTCGGACAGCCTAGACTGGAATCCTGCTATTTGTGCTTCCCTGCATAACTGGAATGCCAGGTGTGACCACCATGCCCAGCCATTGGTTGAGATGGGGTCTGGTGAACTTTTTGCCAGGGCTGGCTTCAAATCTCAATCCACTCAATCTCTACCTCTCATATACCTAGAATAACAGGCTTGAGTCACTACACCTGGTCAGAAAGTAACTGCTTTAATATTCTTACCGTCTATCTCATCTCCCTGATTTTTTGTCAAAAGATATTCAACAAACAGTTTTGAGTTTGAGATTCATCCATGTTGTGCCATGTGATGAGTTTATTCATTTTTATTTCTATATTTTCTATTTAAAAGTGACATGCTGAATTTATCCACTGTTCTGGTGGGCATTAAAGGTTGTTTCATTTTTTGGTTAGTACAAAAAGTGCTAAAATGATCACTCTTGAAACTGTTTGTGTTGCACATGTGAAACAGTGTCTCCAAAGATATACGGTGAAAAATGGAGTTGTCCAGTTGCTCAATATGTGACTATTCAACTCACTAAAAATGACAACTTGTTTTCCAAAATAGTCATTCCAATACATGCATCTACCATCCACCAGCAATAAATACAAATTTTGTTGATGCACATCTTCTGTCACACATGGAAATGTCAAATTTCTCATTTGTGTCAGTTAAGATGCTATCACACTTTGAGACTCAACATTCCTTTGGTTATTAGTGAGGCTAAATATATATTCATATGCTTAACATATAGCCATATTTATTTGAACAGATGGTTCAGACCTGTGCTTATTTTTCATCTTTTAACTGACCTGTTGACATTTTTATATTATTCTTTGTCTTTTATAAATATTCCAATTCTTTTCTTTATGTTTGAAGGTGCATTTCAACTTCATTTGTGTGTGTGTGTGGTATAATGTAGTTTGAAGTCAGGGCCTCATACTTGCTAGGCAAGTGCTCTACCACCAGTCCATCAATGTATTTATCCAGTACCTTTTCATGATTATGGTGTTTTAGTTTTAATGTAGTCAAATCTGTTGATTCCTTTTTATGGTCAGTTTTCTACAAAATGATTTATTTAATGTGACCTTCCATATTCTGAGGTCAGAAAGATCCTCTATTATATTTTCTTTAGCAATGCTACAGATTGCTTTATATGAGTACAAATAGATACAAATCAGTTCTGCAGTATCTATCAAAGATCAGTTAGGATTATCACAGTCTTGAAATAATAGTCATATTTGTGGCAATATACCTCAAAAAATCATAAGAAATATGAAAAAGGAATGCATATTCATGATAATGTTCACTATAAATTTATAATGGCAAATAAAACTAAAAAGAGTTAAACTATAGAATAAATGTCTGTTGTTACAGAAAGAAGGATACGATCAATGAAATCAAGTCTCAGATTTTCATTAAAGTATGTCTGCCTAGTAATAAGGAAAATTATATGATATAGGTTTAATGGAAAGAGAGGTATAATTAAATCCATATTTTAATTTTAAATATCAAATTATATATGAAAAAGTTTAGAAGAAGTTACCAAAAGTGATAATGGTAGTGTTTGAAGGAGTTAGGTTTATACATGCATTTTTAAATATGTTTTTATTTTTCTGTCAGACTGCAATGTTGATGAATATTTTATTTTTAAAAGTAAACCACAGAATCTTGAATTTATTCATGTAATAAAATGTTTCCTTAATGATTCGTAATTACAGATGTATTAGGCGTTCAGAGTACCTAGTTGGATTTTAAATCAACTGCTGGATAGGGAAAATGAAATATAAAAAATAAATTTTTAGAAGTTTTGAAAATAGAATGTAAAAGCTTCTCACTTTCTTGTCAAAGTCTTTGATCTGTGATATCTGTTTCTTTCTTAGGAAGTTTGGGCGTGTTGGCATGAGTTATTGTCATATTTGGAAAAGGCAAACAAGTGGCTAAATGAAGTAGAATTAAAACTTAAAACCACTGAAAATGTTCCCAGTGGAGCTGAAGAAATCTCTGAGGTGGTAGAAGTAAGTTGTGGGTTAATCTCAATTATGGTAATTTATATTCAGTATTGAAAGAGGTTATGCACCAAATAGAAAATAAAATGCAAAAACCAAGCCAGAAAGTGTACTTACTATGCATCTTTCAGCCCTGGCACTTTGAGTGAAACCTTTGTTCCTTCAAAGATCCTTCTAGGTCTCAAGGTTTAAAGAAGGTTTAAATAACCTCTTACAGAGGACATTTGCCTTTTGTTATGTCACTCAATTCTATGTACACATTTAACCTGCTTAAATTGTCTGCAGACCTTGAAAACTGGTCAGAATATTATTATAATGCTCCTTTGGAAGAGAGCTAAAAAGCATGATAATGTGAAACATTATTTCCATTTTAAATGCTACATTTATTATATGTGAACAGATTTTAAAATTATCTAAAATCACTTTGCAAAATGTTTTTTACACTTTACAGATTGTTTTGTAGGATTAAATCGATATGTTCAGATATTGGAATATGTTTAAAATGTTAGCACATTTTAAAATTTTATTTTAGAGAATTTTAATGAATAAAATTTAAAAGATTTTGCATGTATGTTTAATGAATATGTAGTTTTAGAAAATGTAGTATACACAGACCTGTATGAAATTTGTTTATAAATATGTAAAATAAGAAACATTATTTATCCAAGATATGAAGAATGTATAAAATGTTTCCTTCGATAAAACAGAAGTAGAACCCTAAATATCAGAGCAGCTCATTTTACCCAATTTTCCCAAGAAAATGGTAAAACCCAAAGTGGTAAAAAGACCAATGGGGGAAGTCTCAAAATATAAATTTGGCTCTCTCCTCTTCAGACACATTCATTGACTGGACATGTTTTATGAATAAACTATGCGATGCATGATCCAGAAAACACAAAACAAACTTGTAGCACAGTAATAAAAGTACAGTGGTCAGAACAAATACTGTGATGATATAGCTATCCCATGAAATGATCTTATTGTGCATGGAATCCCAGGTTAAATTCTTACCATCACATTTTAAGTGATGCACTGAAAAAAACTGTATGTTCAGAAAGGAATAATAATCAAAGTAGAAAATTAGAGGCTGTAAAATGAAGGGTTTAGGTAAAGAAAGGGGAAAAAGTTTTAGTATTCTATTTTTATTGTTCACTATTTTAACTAAACTGTTCATTGATAGTGTTCTGCTGATCATGCACAAAGACATTTTT